AGGATGCTTGGCCCGTAGCAGCATTTGAGGACCCGCATACGCCAGGCGTCTGAGTCAACACCGCCCCGGCCACGTGTTTGCCTCTCCTTCCTTTCCAGGCCTCCGCCAACCAGCGGGCTGGCCGTGCAGGTCGGGTGGCCGCAGGGAAGTGCTTCCGCCTGTACACAGCCTGGGCCTATCAGCATGAGCTGGAGGAGACCACGGTTCCTGAGATCCAGAGGACAAGCCTGGGCAACGTGGTGCTGCTGCTGAAGAGCCTAGGTGACAGGGCTGCCCGTGTCCCCCCCCCAGGGCCTCCGGTGCCTGCTTAGGGCTCTCTTCATTCTTCATCCCTCTCTCCAGGGATCCATGACCTGATGCACTTTGACTTCCTGGACCCGCCACCCTACGAGACCCTGCTGCTGGCTTTGGAACAGCTTTATGCACTGGGAGCCCTCAACCACCTGGGAGAACTCACCACGGTGAGGAGACCGCATGGCCTGGGGCAGGATGAAGGAGAGGCAGGAACTTGAGGGAAGACAGGCCTCACCGTTCCCTTTCTTTTTTTCAAAGTCTGGTCGAAAGATGGCCGAGCTGCCTGTGGATCCCATGCTGTCTAAAATGATCTTGGCCTCTGAGAAGTAAGTCTGCTCCCCCATCCAGTGCCAGCTGGCCACGCCTCCTCAGTCCCAAGTGTCACCTCTGTCTTCCTTTCTCATCGTGGTCTTTATTTAAGAAGTCTTGCTGGAGAGATGGCTCAGTGTTAAGAGCACTGGCTGCTCTTCCAAAGGACCTGGGTTCAATTCCCAGCAACCACACGGTAGCTTAGACCCATTGATAATGAGATCTGGTGCCCTCTGCTGGCCTGCAGCAAACATGCGGCTGCATACTATACATAATAAATAAATAAATCTTAAAAAAAATAGAAGGAAAATGTTAAAAAACAAAACAAAATGTTAGCCAGGCATTGGCAGACGGCACACGCCTTTAATCCCAGCACTCGGGAGGCAGAGGCAGGCAGATCTCTGTGAGTTCGAGACCAGCCTGGTCTACAAGAGCAAGTGCTAGGGCAGTTACATAGAGAAACACTGTCTTGAAAAAAAAGACAATAAATAAATAAATAAGCAAGTGAGTAAGTAAGAAGAGGAGGAGTGAGATGGGAGTCTGTCTGTCCTCGTTTGTTCTTTGGTGTCTTGTGTTGACCTCATCTCTTGCTGCCCCATACCAGGTACAGCTGCTCAGAAGAGATCCTGACAGTGGCTGCTATGCTGTCTGTCAACAACTCCATCTTCTACCGGCCCAAGGACAAGGTCGTCCATGCTGACAACGCCCGTGTCAACTTCTTCCTCCCTGGTGGGGACCACCTGGTCCTGCTAAATGTGTACACACAGGTCACTGGGCACGTGGGAATTTGGGAAGTGTGGGATACTTGTGTCCCGATGTGTCCTAAACATACCCCCCCCATCTTCGCAGTGGGCTGAAAGTGGCTACTCTTCCCAGTGGTGCTATGAAAACTTTGTACAGTTCAGATCCATGCGCCGAGCCCGGGACGTGCGGGAGCAGCTGGAGGGGCTCTTGGAGCGCGTGGAAGTTGGCTTGACTTCCTGCCAAGGAGACTACATTCGTGTGCGCAAGGTCAGGGTTTTTGTTGTTAATGTTTTGTCTTTTTTGTTTGTTTTCTCTCTCTCTCTCTTCATTTTTACAAGGTAGGGTTTCTCTGTGTAGCCCTGGCTATCCTGGAACTCGCTCTGTAGACCAGGCTGGCCTCACACGCACAGAGATCCGCCTGCCTCTGCCTCCCGAGTGCCGGGATTAAAGGTGTGCGGCCCCACCTGGCACCCTGTTGTCTTCTTTCATGTATGTATGGAAGTACATGTGTCAGTCAGCGGACAGTGCAGGAGTCACTATGTATGTATGTATGGAAGTACATGTGTAAGTTAGCAGGCAGTGCAGGAGTCATTATGTATGTATGGAAGTGTATGTGTCAGTCAGCGGACAGTGCAGGAGTTGCTATGTTACAAGATAAAACTTTCCCTGGGCAGACGCTGCACTCGTCTCTTACCACAGATAGGGAGCCCACCAAGTCGAATGTGGTGAACCAGTGAGTTTTATCCGGGCTACTGGTAGGAATACGAGCAAGGGATTACTGCATTACTCACAGGAGCAGAAATGACTCAAAGACAGCTGCGTCACCAAAGCCCACCCCACTATGGGTGGCAGTTCACAAAATCCGGGAACCTGAAGCTCACTGCCAAGCCTGCAGGCAGCTCAGCAGGTTGGAAAGAGTTGGTCTAACCCTTTCGGGGGCTTGGTTGGTTTGTTTCTTCCAAGCAGCTGGTCAGGCCTCCAGAGTATTCTTTGCACCTTGTCGTGTCTGAGGGACATGGCGTCCATTGATTACTCTGGAATCTGGTCAGGCTTTGGGACCTCCTCGAGCTGTTTTGAGTTCCTTGAAGAGCTTCACTGCAGGGTGGTATGTTACCATCTCAAAGAAAACTGTTACCTCACACACGTCCTTCCTCAGACACGTCATCCACTTCTGAGGGTACACGGCTCTCTCCCTGCCCGAGCTCTCCTCCCTGGTGTTTACTGGAGCCCTCCCTTCCCTGGACAGCACACGTCAGTGGCTTCTTCACGGGTCCCTCGCCTTTCTAGTTCTCCAGAAACCTGAGCTCAGAGGTGGGGCGTGGAAGGCCCCGAGGGTGCCTAACCTTCCTTTCTTGCTCCTTAGGCCATCACTTCGGGTTATTTTTACCACACAGCAAGGCTGACTCGGAGTGGCTACCGCACAGTTAAGCAGCAGCAGACGGTGTTTATCCACCCCAACTCCTCTCTCTTTGAACAACAGCCACGCTGGCTGCTCTACCATGAGCTTGTCTTGACCACAAAGGAGTTCATGAGACAGGTAAGGAAGGAACTGTTGCCTGCTCAGATGGTGGAGACTGGGAGACAGTCTGCTGGCATCTTAAGTTCATGTTTCTGGGACCGTCACTGAAACAGGAAGGTGTCTTAGTTTAACTTAGGATCAAATGTAATCAGACTTAATGTATGCTTGGGATGTAGCTCAGTGGCACAGTCCTTGGTATCATTACACATAAATATAAAAAAAAGGGGCAGGCGTTGGTGGCGCACGCCTTTAATCCTAGCATTCTGGAGGCAGAGGCAGGTGTATCTCTGTGAGTTCGAGACCAGCCTGGTCTACAGAGCAAGTTCCAGGACAGCCTCCAAAGCAATCCTGAGAAACTGTCTCAAAAAACCAAAAAAAGAAAAAAATATATAAAAAAAAAACAAAAACCGGGGATAGAGACATGGCTTGCAGGTTAAGAGAGCACTGATTGCTCTTCCAGGGGTCCTGAGTTCAATTCCCAGCAACCTCATGGTGGCTCACAGCCATCCGTAATGAGACCTGGTGCCCTCTTCTGGTGTGCAGGCATACATGGAGCAGGATGTTGTATACATAATAAATTTTTTTTTTTTTTTTTTTTTTGGTTTTTCGAGACAGGGTTTCTCTGTGGCTTTGGAGGCTGTCCTGGAACTCACTTTGTAGACCAGGCTGGCCTCGAACTCACAGAGATCCGCCTGCCTCTGCCTCCCGAGTGCTGGGATTAAAGGCGTGCGCCACCAACGCCCGGCTTACATAATAACTATTAAAAAAAAAATCTTTTCCTGCAATTGTTAGTGCTTTCCAAGATCTGAGAATTGTAACTCATTCAATAGATATTGAAGCTGTACCTGACGGCACAGGTCTGTAGTCCCTGGTGCTCAAGAAGGTGAGGCAGGAGGACAACACATTTAAGATCCGCCTAGGTCACTGTGGGGCTGCAGAGATGACTTGGTGGTCTAGAGCACTCACTGTTCTTGCAGAGGACCCGGGTTCAGTTCCCAGCACCCACAGAGCAAGCAGCTCACAACCACCTGTAACTCCAGTTCCGGGAAACATCTGTCACACCACCACTTCTGCAGAAAGCACTGCACTCACACACACACTGACACACACACAGACACTCACACACACACACAGTCACACAGTCACTCACACACACACTCACACAGTCACACAGACACTCACACACACACAGTCACTCACACACACACTCACACAGTCACACAGACACTCACACAGACACACACATACATCCATCACACCACCCACTTCTGCAGAAAGCACTGCACTCACACTCACACACACCCTACACTCACATGATCCAAAGTAACAGAGCTAGAGGGATGACTTAGCCAGGTAAGAGCACTGACTGCTCTTCCAGGAGACCTAAGTTCAATTCCCGGCACCCTCCTGGTGGCCCACAGCTGCCTCTTAACTCCGGTTCTAGGGCATCTGACACCCTCTTCTGGCATTCTTGGGCACCAGGCATGCGTGTAGTATACAAACGTGTGTAGGCAAAGCAGCCATACACATAAAATGTCCTTTAAATGTGGGAACAACAGAGGGCATGCCGAGGAGACTTCGCCGAGTCTTCTGTAGCAAGCAAGAGCGCCCGGGTTCATATCCAGCATCAATGAAGGGTGTGCACAGCGTGCTGGGGCCACAGAGGCAAAGGAAGCAGATGAAGTCTGCCCTGAGGAGCAGGCTCTCCTCGGGACTCACTGACCTGCTGTCTTGAGCAGGCCAGGGTTCGCCTGCCCTGTCAGCATGAGACATGCTGCTTTCTCCTTGCCCCAGTCAGAGGGGAGGAGAAGCCACACAGGAAAATCCTGGCTTGGGAGTGAAGGGCCTGCTGACCTCTGCGTCCCCTCACAGGTACTGGAGATTGAGAGCAGCTGGCTCCTGGAAGTGGCCCCCCACTACTACAAGGCCAAGGAACTAGAAGATCCCCATGCGAAGAAAATGCCCAAAAAAGTAGGCAAGACCCGAGAAGAGCTGGGCTAGAGGATGACAAACGGACTGGGCCACGCCGCTTCCTTCCTTCCATATGTTATTTAATACCTAGTAAATAAAATTATTTTTGGAATGAAGTGTGTGGGAACTTTGAGGCCCCGAGAAAGTGACATGAAACTCTACCTCATCGTGCTTAAACTTTATTATTTACAAATTAAATTACACAGCAGCTTTACACAGCATGAGATGGGAAAGGAAAGGGAGCGGAGGGAGGTGGCCGGCTCTCGACATTCTCGTCCACCTCCGCCTCCTCTTGTGCGCATCGAAGTCTTCAGTGACGCCTCCCCCAGGTCTGGATCAGGCCTTGGAACACGTGTGTAAGCGGGGCTCTGGTTCTGACAGCCCCAGGGCCACCAGAGCTCCCACCAGCAGCTTCTTCACAGGCGTTGATGGAGAGTGCGAAGGTGTCAGCTGCAGAGACAGGTTAACGGAGGCTAGGGAGGAACACAGACATGTTCTGCCCTTCACCCTACCCCCGCACACTCCCAACACTCACCTTGTCTAGGTGGTGGCGGCAAATGAGGCCACTGGAATTCAGGTAGAAGGTGGAATAGGCATCAAAGGTCCTGGAGAAGGGAGAAGCTAAGGCTTAGTTAAAGTATTTGTGAAAACCAGTTCCTAAAGTTTGCCGCGTGTCAGATCCACCTGGTGACCTGTTCTGACTTCCAATTCTCGGGCTTGAACACTAGGACTATCACAGTCACACCCTACTGTGCCCAGCAGCCACCTAGGAACTTAAGATCCTCAAGCTCAGGCTACATTCAGAGCAATTACATCACAGTGCCACTCTATAGAAGACCTTAGGTTATTCTACTGCACAGCCAAATTGGTGAAACACTAGTTGTCTGACTGGGGAGGTGGGTAAGTGCTTGCCCCGGCAGAAGACGATTTAGGGAGTCATCTCCTCCCTCCCTCCCGTCAGGCGGGCACTGGGTACTGAGCCGAGGTTGGCAGGCTTGGAGTCAAGCACCTTTACTTACCCACTGGATCATCTCACTGGCCCAGAATCACTTAAATGCTTAAGTACAATGGTACAGGCTGAGCCTAGTAATTTGGGGGGATGTACCGGCCAGAAACTTAACCATGTACTTCACCAAGGGCTGTGAAACTGCATTTTTAGGATGCAGTATTTTTGTTCGTTTGGTTTTCGAGATGGCTTCATACAGTCAAGGCTGGCCTTTGACTCCTGATCCTCCAGGAAGCAGGAATACTTTGTTCGGTAAATAAGTACTCGTCACTTGTCAGGTTCAAGTAGCATAGGAAGAAACTGAAATCCAGAGGTTTCTTTTTTATTCTTCAGAGGCAGGGTTTCTTTGTGTAGCCCTGGCTGTCCTGGGACTCGATTTGGAGACCAGGCTGGCCTTGAACTCAAAAACAGATCTGCTAGTCTCTATCCTCCTAGTGCTGGGATTAAAGGTGTATGCCACCACCACCTGGCTGGGGTTTCTGGTTTTTTTTTTTTTTTTTTTTTTTTGGTTTTTCCCAGACAGGGTTTCTCTGTATTGTTTTGGAGGCTGTCCTGGAACTTGCTCTGTAGACCAGGCTGGCCTTGAACTCACAGAGATCCAACTGCCTCTGCCTCCCGAGTGCTGGGATTAAAGGCTTGCTCCACCAACGCCCAGCCTGGCTGGGGTTTTTAATAGACACAAAAATCTATTAATTTTATTAAAAGTAGACTGGGCCATCGTGATGGTTTAAGTGAGTACAGGTGCTTGCAGGCAAGCCTGTGGCCCTGAGTTCAATCCCCAGGACCTACCTACATGGTAGAGTGCGTGAGCTAACTCTCACAAGTTGTCCTCTGAAACTTCACTTACATGCCACAGTGTGCACTACCAGATGCACATAAACACAAAAATAATTAAAATAAAAATAAAAAAATAGACTAAAATCTCTACCCTTGGGAAATCTACAGCCAAATCAAGACAGGATCACCAACTTCCAAGACAGTAGTAGTATTAGGGAAGCCATTGCAGTTGGGGGGGGGTCTTACCGGTAAAGATCCTCTTTATCGCGCCTGTAGAAACGCATGAAGAGCATGTGTATGGGCAGACCTACTAGACGCCAGCGGGCTTGCAGGGTCCAGTTATCGGGGTGGCGGGTCAGCTGTAGAATCTCCAACCGAAACTGTGCAAAATAGTTCCAAACCAGGAAGCGGCAAAGGGTCAGGGACATAATGTACCATGTCCGGCCCCTGTGAGAATCAAAGGGATAGGGATGTCAGGATTGCCCAACTGGAAACCCAAGCTGGCTTTTGTTCGGGGAGCAGGGAAGAGTCAAGTCTCAAGCAGCCTAGATAGAACCTTCTCTGAGACAAGGCTCAGGTGATTAGCACTGGGTCCTCTTCTCCCTCCCTTGCCCCAACTCTCACTTGGTACGAACGTTCAGGATCTCATTGATGAACTCCACGTCCGTAGAATACAGGGTGTAGTCATGGGAGCGAAGGAAGAGGGTAGGGAGCTGGGCAGAAGAAGATGGAGTCAACTCAGTGGGAGAGGAAAGATGTTATCATTTAATTTTGAGGCAGGGTGTGTTTGTTTGCCCAGTCTGGCCTTGACCTTGAAATTCTCACCCCCCCAACCTCCTGACTGACTGTATTACAGGCCTGTCACCGGTTTGGCTTATTTCTGTTATCTACTTTTAGGGTCATCTAATGTCCATTCCCACCTGAAAGGTCACTCCAATCGAACTAACTGTTCTTTACTCCAAACAGAGGGACAGCCGCTTCCCCAGGAAGACAGTTCAGTTATGGATGACTAGCCTGTCTCTGCATTCTTTCCCGCTTACCTCTTGCCTCAGTTTCTCATGCATGACAGCCAGGTGCTCCTCCATATTCTGATCTCTTGATGGGGTGGCAGGGGAAGGGTGGGGAGCTCCGGGAGCTTGGAAAGGTAGCCAAGCCCCAGGGTGGGGGCCAGGGGGTCCCTCAAAAAGGCTCCTGAGTCCATCCAGACAGCCATTGTGCAACTCGGGCCCTGGTCCCTCCTCCCCCTTTCCCACAGGAAGAACCACCCACAACGAATTGACAGCCTGGACCTGAAACAGAGGTGGGGGGAGAGCCTGAGGAAGACGGTGGGTGGGAGGACGTGGGGGTGTGAGTGACCAGGGGAGAGGGAAGGATGGATAAGGGGGTGGGGAGGCGTGGGGCCAGAGGGGTGGGAATGGTAGAGCCCGAGGAGGAAGCTGGTCCTAAAGAGAAGGGAAAGAAAAAAAAGAATCAGATGTCTAAGCTAGGCACGGGGGTGTAGGGAGAGGGATGGACGCAGTACTGCTCGCTCCCGTGAGTTCTGGGCCAGCCAGGAGCACACAGTGACACCTGGTTTCAAAAACACAAAAGACCAGATATCTAATGCCTTACCCAATCTAATGCTTCACCCAATGTAATGCTTCACCCAATGTAATCTAATGCTTCACCAAATCTAATGCTTCACCCAATCTAATCTAATGCTTCACCCAAGCGGGGCTGCTTATAGCGGCAAACCCCACCTGCTCCTCTGGCAGAGGGAGAATTGGCAGAGGGAAGAGGCATGGGCTCGCCCGTCCTATCTCCGATGAAAAGCACCTCTACATGTACAATCCCCTCACTACTGGCAGCCAGTTTTGCGCCTTTGACTCCAAGAATTGTAAGAATGTATTTTACGGGGACTGGAGCGACGGCTGGGGGGCAGGGGGAGCTAAGAGCACTGACTGCTCTCCCAGAGGACCCCGGGTTCAATTCCCAGCACCCAGCACATGGTAGCTGACACCTGTCTGTGACTCCGGTTCCAGGACACCTGACACCAACGGCAACGCACCAACGCACACAAAATAAGTAAGCTCCTTTCAAAGAACATTTTATGAACGATTGAAGAACCGGTTTACCCTATCATGGATGAAATGAAGTGACCTAGTAACTTGTTCACGGCTCTGAAACAGCTATGCAGGGCAAAGAACATGCGGGCGAAACCTCCAGGGCTCTCTCCCTACGCCTCGGTTTCCTGTGAATGGAGGGCAGTGAGACCTCGAGAGACTTATTACGAGGGCTGCACAGGGTCACCAGTGTGCATTAAACCTCACCATCCATAAAGTGGCACGTAAAACGCCAACCATTACCGTTCTGGGGCCTCACTGAATGACAGAACCCTGGCCGACTGCCGAAGCGCGAACTCCTGGGGTCACTAACCGCTGCTACTGCAAGGACCGCAGGCCACCCTGGGTCAGGACCGAGTCCAAGTCCCTCGGTTGCCAAGGAGCCCCGGGGGCGGGGGTACCTTGGTGCCTGGCCTTGCCCTCGGGGCACCTTCCCTGCCTGCCGGGAAGGCGTGGCGGTGCGGCGGCCCGCACGGGGCCAGCCTTACCAGCAGGTGCACCGCAGGCCCGCAGTTCCGGCCTCCCTGCCCTGCCTGCCCTTCAGATCACCTCCAGGCGCAGGTAACGGCGGAGGCTGGGGCGCAGGGCGGCACCTCACCGGGCTCGCCCGTCCCCGCAGGCCCCGTCCCCGCTGGCCTGCGACAGCCCCGCGCCCCCTAACGCGTGCAGCGGTGCGCAGCGCAGCGCCGGGCTGGGAAGGGGCTGCGAGGGCCACGGCGCCTGCGCGCCCGGCGCCCCGCCCCTCGCCCGCCCGGCTCCGAGGGTCTCCGCCCGCTCACTCGCCCCCGGCCGGCCGCCTCCGCCTCACCTGGGTTCGAGCCTGGTAGGCGCGGAGGCAGGGCCCGAGGCGCCGGGCGGTCCCCCGGCTCGGGCGGTACATGGTGTCCCGGGGGTGAGAGGCTCTGCGCCTCCCGCGTCCCGTCTCCTCGCTGGGCGGCGCGCGCCCCGGGGGCCGGCTGCGTGAAGGGGAAGGAGGGAGGGGACCGGGGCTGAGGGGGGAGAAACGGAGACACCGTGCGCCTGCGCGGTACGGGCCCCGACGCCGGAGCCGCCGCTGCGCGGGTGCGCGCCTGCGCTTGGCGGGCCTGGGCGCTCCCACGGCGCCTGCGCAGCCCCTTGGCCGGCCTAGCAAAACCTGGAGGGAAGGTAGAGAGCCGGCTGGACGCCTTCGCGACAATGAGAATGGGGTGGGCGTGCTGAAGTAATGACAGGTCGCTTTGTTCAGCCGCTATGGTGATATTAAAAAATAAATACTTTTATTGCTCTGGTTAGAAATAAGATACAAACGATCTGAGGCGGTCAGGCCTAATGAATGAATGAATGAATGAGCGCATCCGTTATGAAGGGCCCAGCTTTGGCTGTGTTCTGCAGTTTGGAAAGGGGGGGGGGCTGTGGTCACCAGGGCCTGGTGCTGCGGCGCTCCTGCAGGTTCCTGATGAACCGGGCGTTGATTATGGCCCCACCCACCGTCCAGGTCTCAGCGGGTGGAGCCGGGACCCTTGGAGCAACTGAGGGCGGAGGTTCCTTCGCAGACCCATCCTCTAACAAGATCTGATCCTCACCGGACGACCTGGCGGGCAGGGAGAGGGAGATGGAGGGTGTTAGAGCTGACCGCAGTTTGCTTGATGGAGGTTCCTCGAGGTCGTGGGGAGCCAAGTTGTGATTGGAGAACACCTGTCGGGTTCTAAGGCTGGGGCAGGCCACACCGTGTCCAAACGGAAGCACCAGAGCTCAGCCCACAAGGAAGCAGAAGGCTTATGCGATGTTAGGTAGAAAGGTGTGCGGGAACTGGGTGGTACCCAGCTCAGACTCGGGAGGAAGCGTGCGGGCGGGAGCAGTGTTAGGCAGGGTCAGAGGCGCCAGGCGGCCGCCGTTAGGGGGAGGTGTGGACCTCACCTATCCTCTGATTCCTGCTCCCCCTGCTTCCGTTCTTGGTAGCCTGCGGAAACACCAGGCATCTGGGGAGGCCGCGGCGGTGTGTGTGGCCCACTTGGTTGGAGAATAAGAAAGGGTGACCACTTACCTCTACCCAGGGATGAGGTACTGAGTCCCCCGTGGCGGCTGTAGTGGCAGCTTTGGGCTACCAGCCCCGGGGGAGTCCCCCTGTAGGAGAAATGGGAGATGATGGGGAAGAGGTTCAGGATGAAGGGTGGCATGGAGGGGTCGGAGGAGAGAGGAGGGAGGGATAGCATGGGGACAAGGACAAAGGGCAGCTGTCACCCAGAGGGTTCCTGTCTGAGTCTTTTCCCAACAAGGGGGGGGCGCTTATTTTGTACTTGAAGATTTTCTGACGCATCCCTGCTGTGTTGCTTTACTGGAGCGGTGTGGTATATGATGTGATCCAATTATGTCAAAAAAAAAAAAAAAAGGAGTTTGTGGAACCATGTGCCCTCATGTTTGAAAAACTGGTTACCTTAAATATAAGAAATCTCAGACCAGAGTAGCAAGGCCAAATTTAGGAGGAAAAAGCTGTCTTTTCAGGAGGATGACAGACTTATTATTATCATCATGGAGACAGGGCTCCACTGTGTAGCCTTGGCTGGACTGTAACTTCCTACATAAACCAAGCTTGCTTCACACTCTTACCAAGGTCCGCCTGCCTCCGCCTCCGCCTCCCAAGAGCTGGGATTAAAGGCGTGTGCCACCATGCCCAGTACCCTGTGGGGACAGATGGTAGGTAGGACTTGCCTTGAGAGAGCACTAAGGGATCAGTGGGGCAGCCATGAGGAAAGCAAAGCAGGAGAGGAGCCCAGAAGCAGCCCTGAGGTTAGCGAAGCCCTTTCCGAGGCTGGCCGGGGGAAGGAGGTCCAGGTTCCCACGCGCACAGAGAGGTCTACATAGAGCTACTGCAACTCTAGGATAGAGCCAGCAATACAGAGGGGGAAGGGCAGATCCTCAAAAGGGGGGTGGGGTGGGGGGGGCTCTGAGCTCTGCAGACCTCAGGACTGCAGAGGAGACAGGAGGTTCTGAGACCCCGGGAGGACAGGTGAAGGCAGATGACACTGGCACCTTGTTGTTTTTCACTGAAAACGTCAGTTTAGAAAACACAGAAGAATCCACACTTTATTGAGACGGCACTGAGGGGGAAAGCAGGGAGAAGTGGGGAGAGGGAGGTCCTGCTCCCAAGGACTTGCGGGAACACAGTGAGTGGGGCACCTGATCTACCATCACGTTCAGAGGGCGGGGAGAGGACGGGTCTGTCTACACCCTGGAAAGCATGGAAGCAGGGGAGGGGGTTCTGGCTGTGGAGGAAAAGGAGGGGGGCAGCAGGAGGGGGATCCTGACGTCATCTCAAGACAGTCTGGAAAATCTATTCTCAGGGAGGCAGGGAGGTTAGAGGGGACTCCAGGATCTCATGGACCAGACTTTTCTTCAGGGATACAGATAAGTGGCCCTGGGACCTTTGCCGGGATCCACTGCCAAGGGAAAGACTCAGGTTATCTGAGTGGGCCTCCTGTAGACACCCCAAAGCAACATTTGACACACCTACATGGCACTTGAAAAGTTATGAGTTTGGCGATGCTGGGAGGACCCTGCTGGGAAGCCAAGGAGCCCATGTCTTGTCAGCCTTGACTGCTCTGAGGCAGAGTTTGCTCACGGTCTGGCATCAGCAGACTGATGACAGGTTCGTGTGGCGGCAGGATGAGAGCTGCCAGTGGGCACTGCGGAGGGAATCATCCGTTGACAGGACACCCCTTCAAGGTTTCCCTGGCAGAGGAGGCCCTTGGACCGGCTCTGATGGTCTGGAGTCTGAACATAAGCAGAGAGTGCCTCTCTAGGGAGTCAGCAGGAGACATTTAGCCCCAGAGTTGTGGGAACGGATGGGCTGTCTATGGAGAGGACTCGGAGCACATGTTGGGAGAGTGGGGTGTCTTCTGTGGTTAAGAAAAGCTACAAATGTTAGGCTATTTAGAACCCTGGCAACCCAGCTGTTCAAGAAAGGGGGAGAAAAAACCTTGATGGAAGAGTGGGTTGCAGGCTTTGGGAAGGGGGAGGGGAGGGGGTGGCTGTCAGTATCGACTCTCATCGGATCGGGGAAGGGAGCTGTGGAGGGATGTTATGGACAGGAGAAGGGGAGAGGGGAGGCAGGGAGAGAGAAAAACAGATGTCAGAGGTGAAGAAGAGGCTAAGAGGAGACATAAGGACACACCCACTCCCTGCCTATCTGGAAGGGCTCTTGGCACACAGACCCTTGGCCGCGTAACCCAATGGTTCCCAATCTGTTAGACACATGCCTATCCCTGGCAAAACCAAGAATCCCCCAGTTGAGAAAGGCTCAAGCCTGCCCCCCCACCCAATCCTGTCTTCCTATTTTTTTGATGACCCTCAGAGTACAACTCTGGCCCCTGGCTCCATATAAAACCCCTGGATTCTTCACTGTTTTTCCAGAACAGTGCTGCAGAAATCTGTGTCCTTGGTAAGGAGTTCACTGTTTCACATTTCTGGTGGAGTCACCTTATCCTTCACCATTCCTTAACTTCTAGACATCCTGAGGCTCCCGAACTTACGGGCCCTGCCCTATTACCTGGTGCGTCTGCGCTGGGCTGGACTGCTCCCAGGGTCAGAGGCCAGCAGAAGGCGGGCGGCAGGGTGTGGGGGGCAGAGGCGCAGGGAACGGAGCAGCTCCTGCTCTGGCACAAAGGGTCGGAGGGGACCCCGGTCCGGCGAGTTGCCCAGGCTGCTGGAGCGTGGGGGTGGGTGAGCTGGGGGCGTGGCACGGCGAGGGGCCCTGTTGAGGGGCCAAGGAGGCTCCACGGCCACCTTCAGGACTTAGGAGAGGAGGGACACAGAGGGTGAGAAAGAGAAGAAAGGGAAGAGAAGAGAGTCACAACAATTAGGAAGAAAAAGCAGCTTAACCTTTTATCATTGCCTCCTAGTGACCTTCCCTTAACTAGTCTTCTCTGGGTCCTTAAGCCCAGCGAGCCTCTTCTGATCTGGTCAGGCTTGGTCACCCTTCCCTAGCCCCCCAGCCACCCTCCCCTAGCCCCCCACCCCCAGCCACCCTCCCCTAGCTCCCCACCCCCCAGCCACCCTCCTCTAGCCCCCCACCCCCCAGCCACCCTCCCCTAGCCCCCCACCCCCAGCCACCCTCCCCTAGCCCCCCACCCCCAGCCACCCTCCCCTAGCTCCCCACCCCCAGCCACCCTCCCCTAGCTCCCCACCCCCAGCCACCCTCCCCTAGCCCCCCACCCCCAGCCACCCTCCCCTAGCCCCCCACCCCCAGCCACCCTTCTCTAGACCCCACCCCTAGCCCCCTCCCCTAGCCCCCCACCCCCAGCCACCCTCCCCTAGCTCCCCACCCCCAGCCACCCTCCCCTAGCTCCCCACCCCCAGCCACCCTCCTCTAGCCCCCCACCCCCAGCCACCCTCCCCTAGCCCCCCACCCCCAGCCACCCTCCTCTAGCTCCCCACCCCCCAGCCACCCTCCCCTAGCTCCCCACCCCCCAACCACCCTCCTCTAGCCCCCCACCCCTAGCCCCCTACCCCCCAGCCACCCTCCCCAATCTCCTTACATTCTCTGTCACTGGAGGAGTATGGCTTAATGTCTCCCTCTGCCCTTTTTGGCGGCAGCTTCCGTGCTGGAGCTGGTGGTGGCAGAGACACAAGTTAAGTTTTAGGAGAGGCACTTTCTATCCCTCCTCCCCGATGCTGCCTCACAATCCCAAACTTCTGCTCCATGACACCACAGCTCCTCCTGGGAATGCCAGTGCAGAAGCCGCGCTGTGCCAAAGCCAGCACACCAAAGGGAGTTTGGGGGAGGAAGGCTGGAGCACTTTCCGGGAGAGCCAGAAGGAGTAGGCCAAACACAGAGTTTCGGGAGAAAGATTCAGGGGAGACCAGGACCTGGGAAATCCAGGAAAGGGTGGCCAAGGGAAGGTGAGCTCTTACTGTCCATGGGTGTTGTCAGGCCCCCCTGGGGTTCTGGGGCAGTGGAATAGTCCCAGCTGGGCCAGTGAGGACCCTGGGTCCCTCTAGATGAGATGGACAAAGCCCTTGGTTAATTGGGAATTGTTCTGGGGAGGGGAGTGGAGAGGGGGTGCAGAACCTCTCCTTCCTGTACAAAAAGATATGGAGAGACTGAGCTCTTATTATAGGTTTCAAAGTAATAATACAAGAATGTGTTGGCACACGCTAAAGGCATGTCCCTGCTAAAGGCAGGCCTGATGGACATGGCGTGTTCCAGAGTTACAAAGAACAAGGAGCCAGCCAGGTGGCGGCGACACACACCTTTAATCCAGGCACTCGGGAAGCAGAGGCTAGCTGACCTTTGTGAGTTCAAGGCCACCCTGGTCTATATAGCTAGTTCCAGGACAGCCACAGCTACACAGATCCTGTCTCAACCCCTTTCTTCCCAAAAAGGAGAGAGAGAGAAATGTGGGCATCTGCAACAGCAAGGGTGGGGATCCCAGCTGCCCTGTGTGGATCTGCATCCCCATCCCCGATGGTGGCAGGACCTCACTGCCTGCCGAACAGCGGTCTCAGGAACCATAGCGCCTCATGGACATGATGGGCCCCTGGGAGCCTGGGCTGACACTAATAGGGCGTAATGAACCGTTCTTTGGACCACTGTTACTCCTTTTCCAGGCCATGGTGCTATCCCATGGAGAAGGCCATTCTGTGCCACGCAGCACCACACCATTGATGAAGGCTGTACCCTCTCCCTGAGGACGTCCTGGGGGAGGGAGCAGGGGAGGCAGGAGGCAGCTTGTGAGTTTTACTCTAAATGGGTCTATTTATTTATTTATTTTGACACAGGGTTTCTCTGTGTAGCCCTGGCTGTCCTGGAACTTTGTAGGCCAGGCTGACCTCAAACTCACAGAGACCCGTCTACCTCTGCGTCCCAAGTGCTGGGATTAAAGATGTGTGCCACCACACCCAGCTAGGTGTAATTATTTTTGAAAAAAAAATCTTTTTTTAAGGCAAAATATCATGTATCTGGCTGGCCTAGAGCTTGCCACATAGACTAGGCTGGCTCCAAACTCATATAGCTCTACCTGCCTTGGTTCCCTGAATGGAAATATTTAAACTTTGGATTGATCACATCACTACGCCAGGAGCAGAAATCAAAGGACTGTTGGACTCACCCGCTTGTGCCTCCCTGGCTGACAGAGCCTAAAGAGTTTACCAAGTAATTTGATTTTGGCCTGTCTCGAGGGAGCTGACCTAGTCAAGAGGCTACGCTGACATCAGTGGTCAGCAAAGCCCTGAAGGGGCTTGCTTCACGAGAACCCCTGCTGAGAGCAGGGCTGGGGTGCACCATGGCGGGCGGGGCGGTATGGTTAGAGCTTAGAGCGCAGGCTGCAGCAGCATTAGCAGGGTCTGAGTCCTTCCCGGTGGTTATAAAACGCCCTAGCTCTCAAGGCAAACAAGGGAACTGACTGCTGGCTATGTGGGTGGCTTCAGGAGTATCCCGAGTGGCCAGCAGATAGCACTGCACACTTTGGAGCCTCTAGAAAGACTAGACCTCAGTCCTTTAACTCCGCCCAGTCCATGCAGGCTTTACCAGCAGGCGTGGGGTCGACCTCAGCGGCACGAGAGTGTCGAGACGCCCTCAGAGAGGGAGTGGGGGGCCCTGTGAGGGAGGAAGAGGTGGTGGCCCTCAGTGGGGGGGGGCAGCGGGACCAGGAGCCCACCTCCTTCCTTTCCCTCTCCCCGGCTACTAGATCAGCACGAGGCGAGGACACTTACGGTGCTGATGGGCGAAGAAGCCTTCAAAGATCACGAAGTTGTTCACCTGGAAGATGAGGCAAACAGAGCGTGTTGGCCACTCAGTCCCAGCACACAGTGGGTGTAGGGGCCGGGCCAGAGACCACGGGGTGGGCTTCGTCCTCGAAGCTCAGCTAGTGGACTGCTTACCTGCCATCCCATGACGCCCTGGGCCCAAGCCTCAGCACCACATACATTGGGTACACACAGTGGCACAGGCCTGTCACGCTAGCACTTGGAAGAGGAAGGTTATCCTCAGCTACACAGAGAGCGGGAGGCCAGCCTGGGCTACGTGAGACCCTGCTCCCAAGACACAGAAATAAGAGGCTGGAGAGATGGTTCAGCAGTTAAGAGCACTTGCGGAAGACTGATTTCCCAGCACCCACAGGGCGGCTCACAACCGTCTCTAACTCCCGGGGGATCTGACGCCCTTTCTGACCTTCCCCGTGGGTACTAGGCACACCTGTACTGCGCATATATTTGTGCAGGCAAAATATTCATACAAGTAAAATAATAACTCTATGCAGGAAGTGGTGTCACATGGCTTTAATCCTAGCACTCAGGAGGCAGAGGCAGGAGGATCTCTGAGTTTGAGGCCAGCCTGATCTACAGAGTTCCAGGACAGCCAGGGCTGTTACACAGGGAAACCTTGTCTCAAATCACCTGCCCCCCCAAAAAAAAACAAAACAAAAGAGAGATTTAAAAAAACCCACAGTGGAAAGAACAAAACCAAGACTGATTGCCCTTGGGGATAGACAGAACACTCAAAATCCCTGATCCTAACGAGCTGATCTTAAAATTCATGTGGCATCACAAAACTACAAGAAATGTTGAACATGGTGCCTCACGCTCTTTTCCCCAGTGCTTGGAAGGAAGAGGCAGCAGCTGGTCTACAGTCAAGAGGACAAAGCTGAAGTCTAACACTTCCTGTCTGCATAACTTAGCTACTGAACCACAGAAACCAATGCCGTGTGACATAGGATCCGAGCGTTAGAAACACCAGAATTCACACAGTGTGAAAGAGGCACAGAACAGAGGTCCTTCAACAGAGAACGAACAAACATTTCTTTAACAAACAGTGGTTGGGCCGGGCGGTGGTGGCACATGCCTTTAATCACAGTGCTTGGGAGGCAGAGGCAGGGGGATCTCTGTGACTTTGAGGCCAGCCTGGTTTATAGAGTGAGTGCCAGGACAGCTAGGGCTCCACAAGAGAAACTCTGTCCCAAAAAAGCCAAAACCAAAACCAAAACCAAACAGTGCTTGGGAAAATGGATCTCCACAAGGAGAGTTATCGTTATAGCACAGACGCAGAGTGAATCAGGAGGCTGGGCAGACACTGCTCTCCTGGGTCCCTTCCATGCCCAGCACCCACGGTGCGGCTCACAACCATCCGTATCCCACCTCTGCAGACACTGCATGCTCATGGTGCACGTGCATACGTGCAGGCACTCACACACGCATACAGACCCCCAACAGAGAGCTCACAGGACACCTAACACTAATAATTTACACGACATCTGCTGGTATTCCTTACAGGCTAGCAGCTCCACCTGCATCCGATGTGTGGGACGTGCCCTTTGCACTGCTCTGTTTATTTCATTTATGCATTTATGCATCCCCTCTGGCCTGGAGTTCGTTTTTTTTTTGTAGACCGGGCTGACCTTGAACCCACAGAAACCAACCAACCTCACTCAGTTCCAGCAGTGCTGAGATTAACAGCGTATACCACCACACCCTGATATTGCCCTTTTACTTTTTTCTTTTTTGACTCAAGAGTTTCATGTAGCCTAGGCTGACTCCAAACTTGTGATGACCTTCCAACTCCCCACCACCTTGAAAATCAAAATCAACTCTTTTTTTTTTGTTTTTCGAGACAGGGTTTCTCTGTATTGTTTTGGAGGCTCTCCTGGAACTCGCTCGGTAAACCAGGCTTGGTCTGGAACTCACAGAGATCCGCCTGCCTCTGTCTCCCGAGTGCTGGGATTAAAGGCGTGTGCCACCATTGCCCAGTGAAAATCAACTCTTAAATGCCGGGCATGGTGATTCATCTCTGTATTACAGTTTTGGAGGCTGTCCTGGAACTCGCTCTGTAGACCAGGCTGGCCTTGAACTCACAGAGATCCTCCTGCCTCTGCCTCCCGAGTGCTGGGGTTAAGGGCGTGCGCCACCACCGCCCGGCTGTGATTTCGCTTTTCGCTATGTAAAAACCAAAGCCTTTATTTATGATGACCTGTGTGGCTTCCATCTCCCATACATCCCTTTTGTCACACTGGTCTGGGCTTACACTCGCTGCTCAGCCTCCGCACTGGCAATTACACTCTCTGGGACACTGGGCTGCCACCCTCTCTTCCCGCTATTGCTAGTTTCTGGGTGATAGCTTCCTCCAGCCTCTCACTTGCACCTGTACAGTCCCTCCCCCACCGACATAGGTTTCATTTTCTCACAACACTTACCCTTAACTACAGTAAAGAAAACTTGTTGTTTTATGAGACAGGGTCTCTCTGGGAAGTCTTGCAACTCCATATTTAGAGTAGGCTGGCTTCCACTTTACAGAGCCCTGCCTGCCTCTGCCTCCCCGGTGCTGGGATTAAAGGAATGCACCACCTTGCTTGGCCCTAGGATACATTATGTTTGTCTGGTTCCACATTTAGAAGGCAGATTCTTTTGTTGGCTAAGTGGTCCTGGTGCCCGCAACAGTGTCAGGCAACACAGTAAATATCTGTTTATGCACTAGTCACGTGTCTCTAAACTCAGAGTCACTGCCATGATGAAACCAGGCTCCCTGAGGGCTGGGATGTCCGTTATTCTAGATTGTCCATAAATGTTGACGGAATGAGAAACCCCTGTGTGAGGACAGGTGGATATGGACTGCCTGTGTTTGGGGATGAAAATGAAGTAAGCAACCCTTGTGTAGATGTGGTAGAAAACTCTGGAAGCGAAGGCAGAGGCGGGACGATGTTTATGGTTCACAGTCAGCCTGATTTACAGAGAGAGCTCCAGGACAGTGGAAGTCACACAGAGACCCTGCCTCAAAAAACCAGCACCAGGAAGGAAGGGAGGCAGGGAGGCAGGGAGGGAGGGAGGGAGGGAGGGAGGGGGACCCCTGATGAAGGATAATAGGATAGGAAGTTGCTCAGAGGTTAAGAGTCCTTACTACTCTCCCAGAGCATCCAGGTGAGGTGGTCAGCACCTCTGGCCTCAATGGAACCTGCTCACTGCATACATTTTCCCAATGGAACCTGCTCACTGCATACATTTTCCCAATGGAACCTGCTCACTGCATACATTTTCTCAATGGAACCTGCTCACTGCATACATTTTCTCAATGGAACCTGCTCACTGCATACATTTTCTCAATGGAACCTGCTCACTGCATACATTTTCTCAATGGAACCTGCTCACTGCATACATTTTCTCAATGGAACCTGCTCACTGCATACATTTTCTCAATGGAACCTGCTCACTGCATACATTTTCTCAATGGAACCTGCTCACTGCATACATTTTCTCAATGGAACCTGCTCACTGCATACATTTTCCCAATGGAACCTGCTCACTGCATACATTTTCTCAATGGAACCTGCTCACTGCATACATTTTCCCAATGGAACCTGCTCACTGCATACATTTTCTCAATGGAACCTGCTCACTGCATACATTTTCCCAATGGAACCTGCTCACTGCATACATTTTCTCCTGTAGGCACGCTCACATACACATAAACAGAGAACGGATAGTTTTTAAACAAAGAATAAAAGTGAAAGGTGGACATGGTAATCCAGCAGTTAGGAGTGTGGGGCAGGAGAATTGCTGTGAGTGTAAGACCATCCTGGGCTACATTGGGAGTCTCAGGTCAGCTGAGTTACAGAATGAAAACAGACAAGCAAAAATCCCCAAGACTGACTCTGGTAGAGGCAGAGATAGGTGGATTTCTGTGAGCTCTGGGCCAGCCAGCACTACGCAAGGATACTCTATGAAAACAAGAAGCTGCGCACGGTGTCGGGGGCGCACACCTTTAATCCCAGCAGTCTGAGCAGAGGCAGATAGATCTCTGTGAGCTCTGGGATAGCCAGACTACATAATGAGACCCCATCTCAAACAATGATAAAAAAAAAAAGACAGGATGAATGTTTCCAGAACATACGATAGTGCAAGAAGAAAACGATTTAGTTGTAAAAATAAATCACACAGGACATTGTGACATAATCCTAGCTCTTGGGAGGCTGAGGCAGGAGGATCACCAGTTTGAGGTGGGCAGGGTTGTGGGGTATGTCTAGGGGACACTATACAGCAAGTCTCTTTCAAAAACCAAACAGCTGGGCATCAAGGTATACCTGTCATCCCATAATTCAGGAGGTGGAGACAGGAGAATCACCATGAGTTCAAGGCCAGTGAGATCCTGTTTAAAAAAAAAGGTGGCCGGGCGGTGGTGGCGCACGCCTTTAATCCCAGCACTCGGGAGGCAGAGGCAGGCGGATCTCTGTGAGTTCGAGGCCGGGCTGGACCAATAGCCTCCGAAACAATACAGAGAAACCCTGTCTCGTAAAAACCAAAAAAAAGGTGACATCCTGGACACATGTATATATAGGGACTGAGTAGACATAAATATATACATCTATGTACATGTATACGAACACATAACAATAACAAAGAGAGATAATCTGGGCGAGGGGACATGGGAGAAGTTGGAGGAGTAGCAGAGGTGGTGGTACACCCCTTTAATCCCTGCACTCTAGAGGTAGAAGTAGGTGGATATCTGTGTTCTAGGCCAGCCTGGTGTACAAGGCGAGTTCTAGGACAGCCATAGTGACCCAGGGAGACCTTATTTGAAAAACAAAACAAAACAAAAACAAAAAACTAGATGCTGGAGAGATGGCTCAGGGTTTAGAGCACTTGTTGGTCTAGCAGAGCACATGGAGGCTCACAGCCATCTGTTAATTCCAGTTCCAATGGTTCTGGCACCCTCTACTGACCTCTGTGTGTACAGACATGAACATGGTCACATAAACACATGTTGTCTAAAACAACAACAAACCAACCAAGGTAGGACTGGCCACACGTCTCAAGGGTAAAGGCGCTTGCTGACCCTGAGTAACTGATCCTCACGCCTTTCATCTCCACACATGAACTGGAATGCACAGTCAGAAAACAAATGTTTGTAAGAAGGGGAGCAGAGCTGTAATTCTCAGTGGCCGAGCACATGTACAAGCGTGCCCAAGGCCCTAGCGTGGATCCCACCAACCACAAAGGTTATCAGCCAGTCTGACGGGATTGCTCAGCGCCATGCGGAGCTGCCTCTCTGACCTGTGGGACTGTGGTCTCCAGGTTGTAGTGCTTGTTCAGAAACTTCAGCAGCTTTGGCGACGGTCGGTCAATGGCCAGTTGGTGTGGCTCAACCCGCTCTTTCTGCAGGGAAAACGGGAGGTTTGAGGGCAGGGGGTAGTGGGGGAGCATGCTGGCAGGAAATTGGGAGCCTGGCGGGGGAACGTGGGGAAATGGACCACTGTGGGCAGGCGGCAGGCTCTTTAGCAGCCTCGGACGAGGAGCCTTTTAGATCTCTCTCTCTCTCTTTTTTAAAAACTTATTTTATTATTACTATTTTTTATTTTATTTTATTTTTTTGGTTTTCAAGACAGGCTTTCTCTGTATTGCTTTGGAGGCTGTCCTGGAACTCACTCTGTAGATCAGGCTGGTCTCAAACTCACAGAGATCCACCTGCCTCTGCCTCCGAGTGCTGTGATTAAAGGTGTGTGTCACCAATGCCCGGCTACTATTTTTTTTTTTTTTTTTTTTTGGTTTTTCGAGACAGGGTTTCTCTGTATTGTCTTGAAGGTTGTCCTGGAACTCGCTCTGTAGACCAGGCTGGCCTCAAACTCACAGAGATCCTCCTGCCTCTGCCTTCCGAGTGCTGGATTAAAGGCGTGTGCCACCACCACCCGGCTACTATTTTTTATTTTATTTGAGATTTTGCCTGTGAAAGGGTTAGGGTTTTGGAGTTATAGACAGTCGTTAGCTGCCGTGTGGGTACTGGGAGTTGAACCCTGGTCCTTTGGAAGAGCAGTCAGTGCCCTCAACCACTGAGCCATCTCTCCGGTCCCCCTTTAAGATTTCTTCTGACTAAGCCTTGGAAAGACTGTCCGGTACCTGTAACATATGCTGAAAGAGCTCTCTGCCGTGGCCGTGCCGTTGCACTGACTCGTGGATGTAGAAGTCCAGGATGCACAGCGGTTCTACCTCATTGTGGGCTTCACGGTCATCCTGGGACGTCACGAAACAACAGGAGCACACCTTTTTAGGAGCCAGGCACCTTCGTTGCCCAGCCACACCCCCCCACCCTCCTCCACATCTCTCCTCTGGCACCGAAGCTTTCCAATGCCCAAGTCTGCGGCAACACTCACCAGCACAAAGAGCTTCTTGTATCCGACTTTGAGGAAGCCAAGAATGGCTCCTTTCCCTGCCCTGTGGGATGGGGAAGGGGGAAGAGAGGGGGAGGGAAATAATGAGGCAGGCAGCAGCAACCGTCCGGGAGAGACAGTAAAAGAAAGGAGGGCAGCTAAGGATACTGTGGTGTCACATGGACGACAGTGACAGCACTCACGGCCGGGCTGAAGTGTCCTTTAGTATATAAACGACGTGACGGTTACTCTGCATCCTGGAAGCGCTGGTGATGGGCGCGGGGAGACGCTGGGCCTGCGGGGATGAAGGCAGACTCTGTACAGTGGGGGGGCTCCTTATCTGCCACCCTGGCTTTGCCCCTTACTCCTCCTAGGGGTGCCCCGTACCTTGGCAGAGGCTTTGCCCAGTTCGTCCAGAATGGTCATGATTTGCTGCTGCAGATCCACCCTGCAGAGACGGGGCCGGTCAGAAACTCGCTTGGGTTACAGCAGCATCCCCCCCTCCCCACGGGTCACTCCTGGGGCAGCCTGCTCGAGACTCCCACCCAGGCTCCTCCATGGGGGGGTCTCTCTGCCTTTGCTCGGAGCTCTTCCTCACCTCCCGCCTCACCCCTCCGGACCCCAAACTTGGGTTTCACAGCTCCCGGTGTTAAGATTACTGTGGGGCAGCAGGGAGGGGGCCAGGGTCAACCGCAGCCTCCAGTTGAGGCCACACGTCGGGCGGAGGGGAGAAAGGTTACGGATGGCAGGCCGGTTAACCCGGCTAGGTCCAGGGTCAGAGGTCACCAAAACCCAGGCTGTGAACTGCAGAGAGAATGGCCAGCAGGCAGTGAGAAGGGGGCGTGGTGCCTTGGGCCAGGTTTGGAGAGGAAACGGGACAGAAGGGCCACGGGGCGGGTTTGAAATGTCACCGGGCCGGCGTTGTGGTTCCGGGTCGGCGGGCCGGAGGCCGCAGGTGCTGGTCCAGCACGGTGATCCGCTCCGGGAACAGCGCATCCACATCGAACGGGAACTCCATGGCCCATTGTGCGGGACCGGACACGCCCCACGCGACGTCACTTCCGCTACCAGGGCCGCACACCCCGTCTTCATTTCCAGGACCCGCCTCCAGGGATCGCTCCGCCCCTACGGCGGGGTACGGCAGCCAGGAAGACCCCATTCTTTCTGGTCCCATAGCAACGGGACTCCCCTTGTAGGTCTGTGCTCCTGCAGTGCCTTGGCAACCTAGCATCTTTCACCGTGGACAGCCGAGGGGACCCACAGCACGGAACCGCCTTCACGCACCCTTTCCCTGCTAGAGCTGCAGTCCGGGTGAGTTAGACTGAACACGCTCCCCCCCAGCAGCACATCTCACACACTTCACCCCACGTTCTGAAAGTCAGTCCACAGGAAGCCAGGGACAGGAGGACACAGCTTTATTGTGTATCCAGCACACACACCAGGAGTCAACTCTCCTGGTCACATCTGAACCCCTCTCCAGTCAGTATCCCACGTGCCTCTAGACCTCTCCCCTCAACCTCAAATGTGTCTGTCCTCTTCAGCAGTCATTTCCTTGGGGTCTGCCACCGTCTCAAAACGCCATCACATAGCCCTAGAGACCATCCCTTAACCCCTGACTCCTTTCCCAGTTCACAAGTCCTAAGCACTCTGGGAGCCCATCTGCTCTGTGACGGTTTCTGCTGGTGGTGGAGTGGGCATCTCGGGCATCGACTCAGGTGGGGGGCTGCTTTCTTCTAGGAGATTTCCTTGATAGAGCCGGCGAAGGCGGGACAGTTCTCTCTCTGGTGGCTGCTGCCAGCTGTACCATGGGTACCAAGGTTCGCCCGACAACAACGTGGGGGCTGGCGGAGTAACACTGACAGCTCCATGGGCAGTGCTGAAGTCAGCATCTCGGGGCTCAACATGGGGAACGTAGTAGCTGAGGAGACCTAAGGGATTGGAGGAGAGAGATAACGGAGGATGAGGGAGGGCAGTTAATTCAGAGACGAGGAAAAGGCACTACAGAGGGACCAATCAAGAGCAGCAGGCACAGCCGGGCAGTGGTGGCGCACGCCTTTAGTCCCAGATCTTGGGAGGCAGAACTCACAGGCGGATCTCTGTGAGTTCAAGGCCAGCCTGTCTACGAGTTTAAGGACAGCCAGGATACATAGAGAAACCCTGTCTGAAAAAACCAAAATGACCACCCCCTAATAAAAACCATGAGGCACAAGCAGCCTAGGAGACAAAGAACAGTGGGCACTGCCTGGGCTCTCCCCTGCAAAGCTGTGCTCAGTCACTGTATACAGCGCTGAAGGGCACCCCCTCAGAAGACCATAGAAGGGCAGAACAAAGAACACAAGACTCAAGATTCAGGAGACAGAGTCAAGTGACAAAAGAAATGTTTTTTCTTCGTGTCTGAAACAGCATCTTAATATGTAGTCCTAGTAACCAGAAATATGCAGTTGGGACTACAGGCTCCATCCAGCACCACACCCAATCCAGAAGAAACTCCAGGAGCACATGACCACTTTCCAAGTCCCCTTGCTCTCTCTCACTTACCACACTCTCTGGCTTTCTGGATGGCCTGGGTCAGCTTCTTGTGCTGCTTCATACAGACCCCTATGGAGAGAAAAATTAACTCAGATCCCACAAAGCGGAGTTGGCTAAAGTTTCTATACAGATAGCTGATCACAGAGGAGCTGGCTTTACCTGATGATTCCTGGCTCCTGCCCCCACCCCACTCCCACCTTCCCATGCAGTCCGTTTCCCATCTGCCTGAAAGCCACATGAGGAGCTCGGATGACTAGCCCTGCAGAGATGTCACGTCATTGAGTGATAAAGCCAGAAGATGGTTCAATGGGCAAGTGTGGCTGACTTGGGACAATCCACCGAGAAAGGGAAAAGTGATTTCAGGGTATGGAATGTAATAGGAGTAGCAGTAATTATCCCATCTCCATTCTGGACACTGACAGTAAAAAACTTCCTCCCTAAAGGAACTTATTACAGGGCCATGCTCCTCCCTTGTACAGTGAGTTCCGATTACTCTTGTTCTACAAGTCCTTCCTTCTCTGTCTACCATATATAACTCAGCTTGGCTATTGTAGAGGCTGTATGAAAAACTGGACATGGCCATAGACCACAGAGTGTAGAGACAGCCCTGAATTGTTAATTTAGTTGTTTTTCTTGTTCCTTTTAGGTCCTTTTTGTTTAAAATGGCAGGCTCACTCTGTGTAGCTCTGGCTGTCTTCTTGGAACTCACTATGCAGACCAGGCTGACCTCAAACTCACAGGGATCAGCGTGGCTCTGCCTCCAGCACTGGGATTAAAGGTTTGGTTTACATTTCAAAGTCTTTTGTATACACGTTAGCTATTTTAGCCTAATGAGTATCCTCATTAAATACAACCTCCAGAAGCTTCACTCACACTTCCATGCACTATATATAGGATCTATCAAACAAACATCTACCAACCAACACCACAAACCCAGAGTGCTCCAAGGGAAAACCACAGTGGTATTTACAGGCATGCCAAGCTAACCTGTGTAGGGGGCGTGGAAGATGATGCCCGTGTGGGCGCAAACAAACTGTTCCAAGAGTTTCACGTTCTGCAGGAGAGATCAACAAATGCGTGAGGAGGTGGTCAAGACCTCTGAAGGCTGAGTGGACACCTTACACATCCACATAGCCTGCTGTGGTGGCAAACCCCCGTGGAACATGATAAAAAGGCAGAAGGATGAGTTTGAGGCCAGCCTGGGCTATACCTTATCAGGTGTAATCCCAGCACTTAGGAGGCAGAGGCAAAATGGATCTGTGAGTTCAAGGCCAGCCTCAAAGCTGTCTTTACTGCTCAGGATCTATCTTGATGCTTCCTTCAGTTTTAGCCTCATGAATTCATTTCACATATGCATCCTACATTCTGCCACCAAGTTATGGATAGACATGTTCCAAAATGTCCCTTTGGGACAGTCACCAAGGTCCTAGAAATTACCCGTAAATGACAACATGACGGATGAGTAATGAGTAAGCAATACAGTAGCCTGCTGGGTATAATGCATAAAATACGGTGTGTAACTAGGAATACAAAAAACAAGCAGACAAACCACTCAGAGGAGGTGACCAGGGAAGAAAGTAGATACACTTAGCACCATGCACAGCCCAGTCATTGCTTTCTTTTTATAACCGCCTACATAGAAAGGCATACACTATGATGTGTGGAATGGGTATGAACCCCCCACCAACAATGTGCCAGCATCCTCAATGTGCAGCCACAGTTTTGGCTCCTGGAAGCATCTTTATGGTCTACACTATTCACTAAGAAGCAGCCTCACCATTTTGAAGGCTTTTTGAGGAAAAACAAAACAAAACAATTCTATTCCACAGCTCCCTGGATATCTGCACTCTAGCCCCAGGTCCCAGCATGTTACTGGACACTGAAAGGACAAGGAAATAACTACTAAGCAAGATAAAGATTCCAGAATTCAGCCGGGCGGTGGCGGCACACGCCTTTAATCCCAGCACTTAGGAGGCAGAGGCAGGTAGGATCTCTGTGAGTTCGAGACCAGCCTGGTGTATTAGAGCTAGTTCCAGGACATCCTCCAAAGCCACAGAGAAACCCTGTCTTGAAAAACAAACAAACAAAGGGATAGAGATAGATATGGAAGAAAGCTCCTGCCCACCCCCAAAAACAGGGCAATATATTTGCTAATAATTAAAATAGGTAGATTGAACCCGTCTTCAGAAGTTTTTCCTTTAGGAGTTCTTTTGCTAAAAACAACAAAACCCCAAAACAATAAAACCTCTGAGCTAGGTATGGCATCATCACACACCTGTAACCCTCAGCCCTTAGATAGCAGGAGGATCGGAAGTTTAGCTGCATACCCAGCCAAGGCCACTGGGAATACTTAGACTCTGTCTCATCCTACCACCCTGCTTAATTTGGGTATCATCCCCAGAAGTGAGCTTTCTTTCCCTTCACCTTTGTAACAGGTACAGTAGGTTATGACAGGACCTGCAACTTGGAACTGGCACTTCTGTTTCTTCAGTGTGGCATCACAGACATAGGCAAACATCTGCTCTCAAATATGTGTCTCTTTTGTTTGTGTAGCTCAGGCTGTTCGACAACTCAGAAATCTGCCTGCGTCTGCCTCCTAAAGTACTGGGATTAAAAACCTACACCAGCTCTTGGGATTCAGAGTCCATTTTAGGAGAATGAACTAAACCGATGCAATAAAGTCCGTAGCAGAGAGTGAAAACCTGGAAAGAGGGATGCTTTCACGGCGGCAGTCATCGGGATTGTACAGCTATAGTGCTACCAAAGAGTGTGAGGTGCCTCTGATGATCTCTTACCACTGCAGATAGGCTCCAAATTCTAACTCTGGATAAAACACTCTGCTTACCCTAAAGTCAACGTGCAGCTTGTGATCCCGGCAGATGGGGCAAGGATTCCCAGCAACCTTATTCTTGCGCTGCAGATAAGAAACGTAGTTAAAGACACAAAACACGGTCACAGAAAGGATTGACGACCTTCCCTATGGCCCCCTGGTCACATCCTTCCAAGGTAAACAACCTTAAAAACTTACAATACATGTCTTTCGGGTCCGCTGTGACGGTATACCACCTTTATGGTTGCGGCGGTAGTCAGCCCAAACAGGGCGAGAGCCATAGCGGTCCTGGTATTCTGAAATAAAAAAACAGACGAGCTTATTCATGAATGGAGGTGGTAGGGATCTTCTCTAGCCACTTCCTTCAGGCCCTCCCTTGCTTCCTCCCAATCTGGGTACCTTCTGAATCCAGGTATTTCCAAGGTTCATCCACATAGGGGGAAACGGGGAGTGAGGACGGGGCACCTTCTTCAGGACCTTTGGTGCAAAGAGCTCGGAGGGGAACCTATACAGGGAGTAACATGAGCTTCAACAAGATGATGCGATTATTTGGTTTGCTATCTTTTGGGGGAAGAGAGGTGGAATGCGTGTCCAAAATATAAGAACACTTCACCAGGAAGAGACATGAAAGTGGCATTTTTGGTGTTAAACTGACAATCACTAGCTCCAGTCTGGTCCTATGGGATAAGTCAACCAGTGGGATGTAACAGTTAAAAAAAAAAACCTTGGCAAGCAAGATCTGTGCTTGATGTGCACGATTTGGATCTGATAGAAGGGAGAAAAATGTGTGTAACATCCGGGAATAAGACTTAATAAGGGAGCAGGGGACGCACCAGACAAGGGCGGAAAATCCAAAGTCACCGAGCTGACCAGCTTTTCTAAAATGTTGCTGGTCAACATTCCAGGGGACCAAACACAATCTGAGTGCCAACGCCGGCTTTAAAGCTCCCAACCCTGTTATTACTTGGGTTGTGACCTCTGTCGCCACCCTTTGGTCCCACTTTAGGTAGTGTCGTCGGGACCCTGAAGCTATTTCTCCCTGCCCTGCCAAGAGCCTCCAGGGTGGTGAGTACACCTCAGGCTTAGAGGGGTAACTCCAAACCAGGGAGCAGAATCAGACACGGAGAAGCTGATGCGTTAGGGGGTGGGGCAGGGAGCGGCGGATCACGCCTGCCGTCCCAATAAACCGGGAGGTGGAGGCAGGACAGGTCAGGAGTTCAAGGTCACCCATGAACGAGGTCACCCCGGGCCGTGCGAGGCTGTCTGTGTAAGAGGGGAGGTTAAAGAAATAAAAAATAAATTAGGGTCCTTCGATATAAGCACCCTTCTGGTGGGCACCGCTGCAGACACCAACCACACAGTGCAAGAATCAGTTGCGCGTGTCCAGGGGGGCAGTCCAGCCACCTCAGGCTTAGCCTTGGGGACGACGGCGACGGGGAGTTGGGGGGCTCGTGCCCCCTACGGCTCAGGACCAGAGGACGCGCGCCGCGCAGGGAACGGAGGGCGGAGCCGGACGAAAGCCGTCAACCCTCGCCTGCCTGCCCGCGGCGGGGCGAAGGTCGGGCGCGCAGGCCCGGCGGGGACGCAGAGGAAGTCCTCCCGGCGGTTACCTGGGCTCCAGAGCGACTCCGCCAGAGGCCGGGAAGCAGCCCCAGCAGCGTGCGCGGCCAGGGGGCGGCCATGTTGACGCACGCCCGTCACGTACGGCCGACCAGGAAGGCCAAGCCGCTGCGCATGCTCGGGGCACGGGCTAGGGCGGGGCCAAGCCTCGCCCCCTACGGAAGGCGGGTGGTCACGTGCGTCAGGACGGAAGCGTCCCCGGGCGGGGTGGGCCGTGGGACGCGAATTTCAGCTGCGTCACAATCGAAGCGGCCCCCCAAATCGCTCTCCTCCCGGACGGGTCACGATGACTCACAGATTCCGGGCCGGGCGCGTAACTCGCGAGGAGTTTAGGGCGCGATTTAGAGCCGGCTGACGCCAGGGCGCATGCGCCTCGCCGTCCCGGCCAACCCAGGGTGAGACGCGTGGGCCGGGGCGGAAGTGGTGGGGGCGAGGGGGAAGGGGAGAAAGGGAGGTGCCGGACGCGGCGGTCACGCGCTGGCGCGGAGGGGGAGCGGAAGGAGCCGGAAGAGGGGAAGCGGGGAAGCGGTAGGGCGGGGCTCCGCCGCGGCGAAGGCGGGACAGCCAATCCGTGGGCGCCCTGGCCCTCACGTCGTCCAATCAGCCCTTGCCTCGCGCACGAGGTCTCGCGCCGAGGGCGTTTCTCCATCACGTTAGGGTGCGTTGGGCGGTGGCCGGGTATAAAAGACTCCGCCCGAGCGGGCGGCCGCCATTCTGGGGTTCGTTTAGAGGTAAGTTTGGGTGCTCCGTCGCTCGGACGGTAACGTTTGGCCGAGAGCGGGTGGCCCGGGCAGCGGCGGGGGGCAGGGATGGGTCTGTCGGGCCGCCACGGTTTGCCTAGCGCGGCCGTGTGCCGGGTGGGCGACGAACGGCGCCGGGGAGTTGTTCGTAAGGCGACCCGTACTGATTACACCTTCCTCCTTTTGTGTTCTTCTCACCCCAGGTTGAATTTTCTCGGAGAAAGACAGGCCGGCCGTCCGGAAAACAAACAAGCCTCAGCAACATCTAAGCCCTTGAAAGGATCCTGAGAGAGGGGGGAAAGGGAAAAACCGGCAGCCACCAGCCCAACCACTTGTGTCTTCTGCCCCTTGCCCACCCATCTTGCCCACCCCACCAGCCCACGCTGCTTGGGACTTGCAATCTGTGGCCGAAGGACCGTCACCACATAACTTGAAAAATAATCCACCACCCTCCCCGCTCAAACCCACCCAATCTCACTCATCCAGCATTTCCTTTTTGATACCCACTCAGGAACAAAAAAATTTTTTTTTCAACGAACCCCCCCTCCCTAAATGGAGTTGGGTGGGGGGAATGTGAATACTGAGTTGGTCTTTACTTTTTTAAGAGACTTTTTGATCCAATGAGGCCCCCCAAGTAATTGAGTTTGGGTCCTGGTTGGTTGTTTTATTTTTTTTTCCTCCAAAAATTTTACCCCTCCCCCCCTGAGCCCGAGGTGCTGACGTCGCAAAAAATTTGGATAGTAAGTGTCGAATTTTCAAAAACCAGCCTTGCAACAAGAAATCAACGTTTCCCGTTGTTGAAACCAAAAATAATGAGAGGAAGAAATGAGACCATAGAACAAATGTAGAATACTGGAGAAGGACCAATCGGGTCTCTTAAATCTCCATTAAAAAGGTCCTGTGGGTCTAAACAGTGTTTGTTCTCTCTCCCCTGCCACCTGCCTCTTCCCTGCTGTGGAGCAGGCAAGGAGAGGGTGAAGGGAGGGCCAGCAAGTGAGGATATTACGGTTAACCCTTAATCCAGCAAATATCCAGACTGCCAAAGCATAAGCCTTTGCAATTATAAGGAGGAATGGCTACCTTCCTCTGGTTAGCAGTCTTCAAAAGGGTTAATGAGCTCACATACAAAAGATGGTGGATCTTGTGGCCCAGAAGTCCCACTTCTTTGTGTGTGAGACAAGCAGAGCGCCTTTCAATTTGCCAGATTAATAAGCAATCTGTACATAAAGATTGCAGGGTAAGGAGATGGGCAGAGAGAAGTATTAGCTGGCTATGTCTTTTAAGTGATTGTTAAATCCTCTCAATTTTAATGTAATTTGCTTGGGATATATTGTATGGTTAAAATAGGTGGCAATCTAGGAATAAAGATTGCAAGACACTTAAATTTAGGGCAAAATATAATCTTAGTAGCAAGTACATACAATATAACATTTGGGGAGGTAAAGAATGTCTTGTGATTGTTTCAGATTGCATAGGTTATTTAAAGGCAAAAGTGATTAACATTTTAACTTGATACTTTTTTAGTGGTTGGTGGATACAGTTAAGAGGGTGGAAAGGTTGGGAAATGTGGAACTCAGAAGTATTAATTTTTAAAGCCATTAGTGCAATTGAATGCTAGCTTTCTAGAAGATTTGTGTCGTTAAAAGAGGTTTTTTTCTTCCCTGCTTCAAATATGGCGACTTTTCCTTGTCCTTTTGTCTTCCAAGCGGCGTTGCAGGTTGTGTCTTGACCCATTTTTCTCCTGTCCTCCCACCTCAACCCTATTTGTTGAGGGGTCCCAAGTCCTCCCCCTTTCCGGTTATAGGGAGGCTTGGGGTGGTCGGCGGTGGTAGCAAATTGAACTTCAGGTGCAAATTCAAATTCTTAACCCGTAGAAAAATTGTATATTGATTTTATTTTCAGTAAGCTCTTAAATTGAATGGAAATAGATCAGATTGAGGAGTGGGGGGCGCGGGGGTAGTGTGGCTTCTGTTTTTTTTTTTATAATTTAGTGCTTTGTAGTGAGTAAAGCTACCGGCAGATCTGGGTGGCTTTTTAAAATTTGAGTCGTCCTCTCCATAACAAAATGGCGTCCCTGTCCTTTGTTTTTCTCTTTTGCCAGTCAGCTTAGGGCTGCCCTAGAAACTTGGTCAAGGGGGAGGAGCCACTTTGAAGGGTGATGTAATCAACTTGCTTCCTCTGAAAACTCCACCCCCAAGCAGATGCTTTCTCTCCCTCTGCAGATTGCTGCTGGGGAGAAAACGTTTTTCGTTTCTTTTATCTTTTATGAAGTATCTTACAGGGATAAAAGCTTACTAAGGAGAGGAATGGAGGCTGTCCTCCTGTAGTTGCAGTTTGCGTTTAACAACCAGCCTATTGCTTTATTTCACCTTCCATTCATCACAAACTAGGACATGTCCCCTGCCTGCTTCAGTTGACAGGTGTGAAACGTAAACCCAACTGCTCTACATGTGGGAGACTGGGGCAAGACACAGGGCTTGTAGCTTGAGTAGACAATTGGGCCTAATGAGGCTGGAATGTGCCATTGTGCTCAGGACGGGTCCTCGTACTTCCAAATGTGTTGCCTTTGTAACAGTGGGGGAGGGTTGGTACTTGCAGGACTTTCTTATAAATCATCCTTATTCTCACCTCTCAGTTTGGGAATAAACTCTTGTGCTCAGTGCCATCACCCTCTGCAGTTGCTTAGTTCCTGTATGTTGGCACTAGGATGAGAAGTGAATCTTTAGGAAAGGAGGCTGCAGTTGTAAACTCGAGGCAGGGGGAGTCAAGCTACGGTTTCTGGTAAGCAAAACATTTCTGGTATTACATTTCACAACCTTTTCTTTTTTCCAAAGAGCCACCTTTTTGAATTTCTTTTTCTTGCCTTCTAAAAAGAAATTCCTTTAAAGCATTGAGAAGAAGAATGTCCTCTTTGTGTCCCACCTGGTCAGTGCTGTGGCAGTGGATGCATGTTGAAAGCCACACCCTTGAGGGTGGTGTTGGGTGTCTGGTTCTTTATCTCTTCTTCAACTTTTTCAAAGTTAAGTCTTTGACAGTTTCTTCTTATACTTTCATTTTTATATGTAAAAGTGTGGAGCTTCTAGGCAGAGTTGTAAGCCTTTTGTCCTGTCCTATAGTGACTTGGGTTGACAGGGCCTGTTTTCTGCTGGGTGTGGATTCTCATTATTACTTGGACTTCTGACTGAAGGGGAGGGCCTCGTCCACATGTCTATTTACCACACGTCTTTTTTGTCTTTGAGCAGTTTGCCAGGCGCCTCTGCAGCATACCTTCCTTGGGAGCTGAACAGCCACCCACTGGGGTTCCTGGTCTCTAGTGAGCTGAGAGGGGATTAGTAAAGAAGACATTCCTTGCATGGGAAATGAAAGCTTTCTAGGGAGCCTTGGAGAGCCTGATTCTCATGACGTGGCTAGAGTTCTATTTGGGGGATCTTCAGAGTCAGGATGGTGGACATAATTTTGCATCTTTATTAAAAGCCAAATAGTCTTCCTGGGACCAGGATTACCAGATTTTAAAAATAATGATGAGGGAGGAGTAGGGCCTTATGCAAAGGTACAGGATTTGTGAACCACCTGAGACAGTATTTCCACTATGGGGTCATACCAGGGAGCTCTTGAGACACTGAGAGGAGAGCAAGGCATTTTACTTCAGGAGGTGCTTGGGCCCCAGCAAACAGGAGCTGGCGTGAACCTTGTTTCCTGAACTGGTTCAAGATTTAGCAGTGGAAGGTGTTTAGTGACTAGCCATTTTAAACCAAATAGTCCTCAAGTCAGATTCATTTTGACATTGGGTAGGAATTTGATATCTTTAGTAAGCTGTAGATCATTCCCCAGTGCTTAGAAGGTGGAGGTACATCACAGGCCTTTCCACCATCTTTTGTCTGTGACCTTCAAGCAACTGGTTAAAGCAAAGCAAAACATGGCCTGAGTTCTTTATGGCTGCAGAAAGCTTCCTCGTCTTCAAAGTCCAGAGCAGGAGTGGGGAATACTTAGGCACGGTCCCTGCCCACTTGGTCAGTGCAGCTTTGGGCCCTCACCATAGACTCCTCTAAGCATGATGGGTTCTTCCTTTGTTCCCACTGGAAGACCTTGTCACTTGCCTGTGAAAGTGGGGGCCTAGGTTGTAAGGTACTTGGGGTCCCAGATAAAAAGAATAAATACCACTGAAGAAGAAAAGGCACTGAGAATGCATATTTTACTATGAGGAGACAAGTTCAGTCATCCTCCCAAATATAAGGGAAACCTGCGTCTTAGCATACCTATTTTGTCTCCCAGCTTCCTTGACTGTTGTGCCTTTTTGTTTATATAGATGGGAATTTAAAAATACCTAGGTCCCATTTCCATCAGAGGACACTAGACAGCTTTGTACTCATTGGTCGAGTTTCTCTAAAGGTGGCTGCCTTCTGTCTTGTCTGACAATTGGATGAAGGGACATTTGAGTTAGGCTTATTAGTTCCTAGGTAGACATGTTTACCTCAGTCAGCTGTGTTCAGAGGGACTGGAATGAAGTAATGTTTAATTCAAGACATGTCAAACTGCATACATTGTCATTTGGGGCTCTAATAGGTTTATGAATGTATAAAAGATTTTTAAATATCCTAGTCTAGATTGCTCATGTCTTATTACTTTGGGCCCAGTTAATCCTTTTCTTGT